AGGGTTCTGCAATCAGCTCGCCTGGCACCTGTAAAGACAACAATAGGTAGACAGTTAAGCAGCTTCTTCCCAACTGCCATAAAGCTACTGAACTCTGAGATCGCCTCAGCATGATAACCTCTCTGGCACGTGAAAGTAATTAGGGGTGGCAATGTGAAATAAACTGTTTACTAATATGTGCAATATACTGTTTGCTGCTGGACACTTATTGAACGTTTATTATAAGGATCTTATTTTATATGTTATTGAACTGTGCTACCTTTTTTGGCAAATTCCAATCCACCTAACAAACTCAGAGGCGGCTCTCACGCACCTAATTTCGCCCTAGTTACAGCCCAGCTACCTGTCTGCGAGCATAACGCTCATTATATGCTGGTAAAAAAGGTGGATGCAAATCTCTGCAGGTAAGTTAGCCTACATCTGTTCTGCCGAATAATGCATCCACCTCTTAAGCTCAGGTGGAAGATCAGATACATTGCTGATCAAACACAGTTATCACCTCAGATTGTTTGCTGAATCTCAAGGAATGCTACATCTACTGAGTGTAATAACTTATTGATGACTCTAAACGTCTTTTTATATGTACCTCGAATCAATCATCCCCACTGATGAACCCCACAAAGAACAGTGTAACGTTATCGTTTTTAAACAGTAAAGTAAAGTTATAATTGGAGGTGCATAACGAGCTAAGCTAACAAGCTACATAACGACAGCGATACCTGTTAAATATTGTATATAATAATATACATAAATAAATTACAGGAATTTCACTCACCAACTGGAACACTCTCTCCAATAAACCGCACAGCCTGCCATTATTCATCCGGTATTTGCATGTAGAAATGTCCAAACAGCTCCAACAGGCTGAACCTAAGGCTAACAGACAGCAGACCGAGTGCTAGCAGTGACAGGGGCCTGTCAATCAAAGCAGCCACACCCCTAACAGAACTTTAAGGCTTAATATAATTTTAACAGGTGATTTTAAAAAAAATTTGCAATATATACTAAAACCATCTTTTGAACCAGGCTGTAAACATGTTTGATTCTGCTGTAAAGTTGGGCTTTTTAACATGGGGGTCAATGGGGATTGACTCCGTTTTGGAGCCAGCCTCAAGTGGCCACTCGATGAATTGCAGGTTTTCGGTCTTCCGTATTGCCGTCAGCACGGAGACCGGAAGTTTGACGCTTGGATGCGAGTGCTGCAGACAGACAAGATGTTGTCAATGTTGGGAAATGGTACGGTCCATTTTAGGGGTGTCTGAAATTATATTTATAATATAAGGCATGAGTACGGGAAATATATTGTAATATTTACAAATACAGGTAAGAAAGACCCCCCTGAACAGTTGGTTTTGCCTCTTTTTGGGGGGTCCAAGCCTTAACTAACTAGGGGGGTCAGACCTCTCCAATCCCCCCGTAATTCAAACCATGTCTTTAAGGGCAGTGCTATGTGTGTGTGTGTGTGTGTGTGTAGTGAGCGAGAGGGCGAGTGAATGTGAGAAAGCAAGCTGCAGAAAGTGACGATCAAAGGGAGCGAGTAAGTTGTTAATCTGGCAGTAAATATACAGTTTAGGTCAGAGTGTGTCCCTTAATAAAAGTCGGTCTGTTGTTGCCCAACTGCTGGAAAGTGAAGGCGGTTAGCGTTGGCTGACCTCTCCCCTCAGACTCCGGTCTGGAAGCTGAGCAGGACTGGACAGGGCGTAGTCAAGTGACTACACATGCGGTATCATGTTTTTAAGGGGAAAGTACATGAATACCATGATGAACACACACAGTGGGGAACAGGATTTTAAAAAACAGAATAACCGACATGGTACAATTAGTTAGTTAGAGGCTCTGAATTTTAAAAGAATGTCCAGAGCTGGTCATCTGAACATGTGTTCTTGTGACGTCACAAGAAAGCGGAAGAAAAGGCTGGACTACAAACAATCTGTTTTCAAGCAGTTGAGAGTAGTGTTTTCTATGGGAGATGGGAACTCCCTTTGGGTTGGACTTTGGGCATAAGTGTTGACAGCATTAGTGTTGCAGCTTTACACCTCGCTCTGCCTAACCATTAGTCACTCTTAAACCATCAACCTGTCAGCCAATCAGAGGCAGAGAAGAGTCCCCCCCCCCCCCCCATTAACAAATTAAAAAGCTTTAAGGGTTAATTTGCACCTATTTAGTTAAAAAAAAAAAAGGTGCTGATTAGGTATAAAATTATAAAAAAAATGTGCATGCTAAAATCAGCAGGGATGATATCTGATAAGAAAAGTTGATCTACAGGAGAAACAGATCTGAAAGCAACACAGAATGCCTGAGAGCCGCATTTTATTCTGTTATAGTTTGAATTGTCACCTGCCACCTATGTATTTCCCTATACATAAATATTTCCATAAACATAAAACATTTTTCACCATAAGTTGGTGCAGAAAATTTCACCAGAATGCTAGAAATTAAAGATGTCATTATGCTTTTTGCCCCCCCCCCCCTCCTTTATTGAGTTATATATCTTTTTTGTGCATGTAATAGGTTTGCAAAGTGAAAAAGCCCAAAGTCCAACCCAAAGGGAGTTCCCATCTCCCACAGAAAACACTACTCTCAACTGCTTGAAAACAGATCGTTTGTAGTCCAGCCTTTTATTCCGCTTTCTTGTGACGTCACAAGAACACTTGTTCAGATGACCAGCTCTGGACATTCTTTTAAAATTCAGAGCCTCTAACTAACTAATATGTAATCTATAAAACTGATCAATGAACAGTAATCTTTCATATTGTAGGCTAGTCGCACAGATTGGAACATTCCTTTCGTCGTTATCAACTGGAGATAATGTCACTAGTGCGGATGATCAATCAGTCTCGTAAATGATGAATGAGCAACGCTGTATTGTAGCCTAATAATGTTAACGCATTGATCCTTCTTCCACTCTTGCGTTTTAGAGACTATCATGGTCCACATTGGCACGCATTCATATTAGGCGATATTTGGTGAATCATAGTATCGGCGCTCCATTGATGATGGCTTTTTTTCATCCCCGTGCACGTGCTTCCAGGCTCAACATACTTGACTGAACTTATTCTGATCAGCTGTTCTGGAACCGAAAATTCAGAGTTTCCCACCTCAGACTCAATCAACTCAGAGCTCAGGGATATAAAGACAAAAAATCTTACAGTTCAGCTTTCATATCACATTCATTAAATTTCCCAAAAATGCTTTTACTCTATGGTGACGCCTTTGTAGTTTGAAGAACCAGCCATAGCCTAGATATCTCACAGGTTAATCAATGGCTACAGAGGTCACACTTGCAATCTTCTTATGTGGGAGATCTGTGAAAAGCATAGTAGCTGATACTTTAGACAGCTGCTGTCTACAAGTGTAATTATTGATATGACCATTAGATGGTGCCACATGTTCAAACAAATAGTTTTGTTAAGTGGTGGCTTCTTACAAGAAACTAGGTTGTTTCTACCAGAAGAATGACAGCTCTATAGTTGCTGCAGCAGCTTCAGAAAAATCACACATTCCCACATATAAAGTGATTCACCAACCACTGTTTCATCAACAAATGTTGTGAGGAATGGTTCATATTTGTATTTTTATTAATCAATTAGTCAGTTATTTTTTTTCACAAAATGTTACTCTTACTGGAAATGCTAACATCATCTGAGGAGAGGATCACATTTGATCACATCTGCAACTTGTTAAAAATGTGTGGCTGATCTCATTACACCACAATACTGCTGGCTATCTTAAATTCTTAGTAGTGCAACATATTTTATGAGCATATTGTAGTTTTTCTAAAACATCATATTACATAGTATCTACAGCCACTGGGTAAAAGCAGCAGTGTAAAAGCGCAAAATTCACTCTTGTAAGTAGTGGGGTAAAATTAAAGTAAAGTGCAATGGCTGTAGTTTAAGAATATACTTAACTGCAGTACTCGAGAAAAAGTAGTTACTTCTCATCTTTATCAATACAATTAAAACAACAGGCATAGCAAAGATAATACAATGAAACATAAAGTACGTTTTTGTGCACATTGTGACTTACAACTAACATTATTTCCTATTTCTAGGGGTTCTTATATTTTCAATAAGAAATAAAACTTCAGGAGAGTTGAAACAAACACAATGACAATTCTACTTACAACAATTTGAGAAATTTCACTCTGCATCTGAAATTGCACCTTTGCAGTTTATTCCTTCAGTCAGTTTCAAACTGAGTGAATCCACAACACATGTATTTTTGGCTTCAGAAGAATTTCTGAAGAAGATATAAGATTGGATTGCTGACATGTTCATTACAATCTTTTGTGGCAAAGGGGGCTGCAGAAGGAAGAATGTCAGTGTGGTTAGAGTGTGAGAGTGAGAGGAGAGACTTTGAATGTGTGAAGCAGTGTGGTTTAAGGTACTTCACACAGATGAGTCCCACACTTTTGACAATGCTTGATTGTTAAAGTTGTCAAATTATAGATTTAATACACATTATTTAATCAGGAGTTTCATAGAACATATTTGATAAGAGATATCCCTAAAACATTAAAACAATACATCTCTTCATAAATCTATGAAAGTTAAAGGCCTTTATTCAGGTCAGAGTTTCCTCTTGCTTCATGCTCTTTAGGATTTGTAAAACATACTAAAATGATGTTCAGAATTATTCTGTTAAAACATATTGAAAAGCAGTTATGCCTTACTTAAAGCTGACGGACGCTGCCAAGTGGCAATTAATGATATTTGGTGTATTGTGCATTTGTGATTGTGTTACTTGGTTTTGGTTTTCAGGCTGTTCTTTTGGTTCTGACTAAACTGTTCCGTGACTAATCAGATAAACTCCAACACAGGTGAATGCACACAACCTTGTGAATAAGTGTGTATGAATACACAGCACACAAACACATATGTTACACGCATACACACACTAATTTACAAGCACACTCATGCTTTGAAAGAGCCACGCAGCCCCCCACATACCTTTGATGTGTAAATGTGCAAATTGTGCATCAGGACTTGTGACCTCTGTGGTCACGAAGGCAAGGTATATATAGGCTTGACCTTGAGTCAACACATGCTGAGGACCGGTCGTCTGATTAAAATCTTTGAACTGAGAGGTTCACTTAGTGGACTGGTGAGTTGAACTTTCAAATTAACTTTTGATTCAAAAATTCTAAACATTTTGGCATTTACCATGACAATGTTTTAATTCATCTGTGTTCCTAATACAGTGTTCATTGTTGTTGACTTGTTTTGTGTATGTGCGTTTTTAGCAACAGTTTTTCTGCCTGCAGTGATGAAGGGAAACATGATGGTCTTTGCTTCACTGCTCCTTTGCTGGATGCTGCCTGTAGACTCCATGACGGTGAGTGGAGCATGTGAAAATCAGTGGACATTCCCAAAATGTCACAAATAGTAACAGTAAAGGATGCTTACATGATTCCTTTGAACAAGCTGCTCACACATAATTTTCAAGATAAAACACCACATCAGAAAAGGTTTAGCAATAAATGTTCGAGCATATAAGCATAAATAACATTAAAGCAGTTAATCTGTTGTAATAGATTCTCTATATGTGATCAAATAGGTCAAGGCACCAGTTATATGTACTTAACCTGTATTTTGCAAATAGAATTAGTTTGATACCTATTGTTCTACTGTTATTTACAGTGACACTGTGCAAGTGTTACTTTAAATATTTAAGCTGCATTGTTACTTGGATACTTGACAGCTACAATGACATACCTGCTCTCAACAAGGCCAGGTTTTTACACTCACAATATTAAAGTACAGATTTAACAGTGTCTGTTTAATGATCTTTCACTTCACCTTTTCTTTCATTCACTTTTAGATCCGATACAACTTAATTCTACGAGATGCCCAGGACATGCCATGGAGCAAGACCATCAAATTGAGCATGGCTGAAGATTCAGTTGATGACATGTACTTTGACTGCAATAATGAAATGGCGCAAAAAGTCAACAACACATACTTTGAGGAAGAAAAGAGCATGGCTCTATTTGGACAAGCCTGGAAAGATGCAGAAACTTGCAGTGAAGACAGACTAAAAAAGAGAGAGAAAGAGGATAAAGCTCTAACCAAAGATCACATGCAAGCAATCTGTGTTTATACAGCTGACAAAGTGTATAAGGAGTTTAATGTTGTAGTCCGGAAAGAAAGGAGCAAGTACAGTAGTTCCTCATTCCAATTCCACTCTTTACATTTCCTGCTGACATCTGCCATAAAGATCTTGAACAGAAATTTCCACTGTCACACTACTTACAGAAGAACCAGAGATAAGTTCACTGGCAAAGTCAACCAAATAATTCGGTTTGGGTCCTTTACCTCCAGCTCTTACAGAACAGACTTAAAACTGTTTGGTGACAAGACCTGCTTTAAAATTAAGACATGTTTAGGTGCTTTTTTGAAAAACTATTCACGTTATGTTGAAGAGAAAGAAGTGCTCATTCCCCCCTATGAGATGTTCAAGATAACTAAGACATTTAAAGGTAAGGGTAAAATTCAAGGTCTGGAGGATTGTAAAACTGTCTATGAAATGGAAAGTGCAGGATGTAAGAGCAATCTGAACTGCAAGGCTGCGTACCCATGAGAGTGGTTCTTCTCTAACTGGTGGAAAGCACCATTCTGCCATCTTTAAACAATAATTCAATATGTAACTTGCTCAGGGTTTGTTTGATCATTGTGGGGCTTATGTTTTACGCAGTCCTCTGGCAACATATTACAATGTCTTCCATTCCACAAGACATTTTTTATAAGTTGTTGGAAATTGCCTAAATTCCTGCTTCCTATCAAACTATCATTAAACTGCTTAATGCGATAGGGTTGAGTGTGTGCTCTCATTTCTCTATATAATGTTTTATTCTCTTATACTAAAGTTCAAAACCTGAAATTAACAGTTGGTGTTAAAGGGCTTCTGTTACAGTCAAAGGTAATGGAATTTTCTAAATTGAACACTTCTCCATTAGTGAACCAATCAAAAGGACATATTTATTCTTTGATATAAAGAAGCTGGCAGGAATATACTGGGAAGCCAGGGTTTTGTCCGTTTTTGCATTTGGGGCATTTCAAGGTACAATGCTGTTCACAGAAGTGTTGGTGTGTTGCCTGCCACTAACTCCAACGTTGCCTTATTTACATGTTGTATTAACTTAATTGGCTAGCCACTGACAACACATAGGAACAACTGGAAATAATGGCAGAGCAAATATTAAAAAGTACACCATCGATCAAAGACGTGAATGTCAAAGAAGACTATTTTAATGAGCATGCGAAAGCTAATATGCAACTTAAGCAAATACAGTTTATCTAAAAGTGTAGGAAGACAAGTCATTCTGGAAATAAAAGTTTTAATACATTCATTGTGATGGATTACAAATGTCTAATTTCTGCTCTTAGAAAATTAGACATTCAAACATGCAAAAACCATCATTATGGTACTTTAAGTCTATCAAGAATGAGTTTGTTTAATCTAAATCCCACATTGCCAACTACAGCATCCCATTGTAAGTGGTTGAAGATGCCGTTTAGGACGTCCTTAATTGGCAACGATTAAAGTGATTAATTCTAGTGCAACCATATACATGAAGAAACTTATAAGGAAACATTTTCAAATGTCTAGATGTTGTGCATAAAACACACTGAATGAGGCTCTCTCAGCAAAGATCACATGCAGACATCTAACGCAAGTAGTTTTATATGATGCATTCCGGACCAACAGGAGCATCTTTGACACCAGCCTCTGACTTCGATTGCTTCCATTTCTTTGCATCCACTTCTCACAAAACAACAAGTCATCTATATTTTGGAAAGTGCAGGAGCTCTGCTAAGCTGCTATTTATAACAGCATGTGCTTCTTCAACTGGCAAAGGAAACTGAAAACATTTAGCCGTGTTTGTTTTGTAAACTATAAATATTTACAATAACTCCTACAACTGAGTACATGTTTGCATTGTATGCATTTCCCACATACTTCTCTACCTGTCCATGGTCGCTGCGTGCAGGCTGCATATTTTCACATCCACTTACCACATCAGAGAATAAACATTAAACCTTCTTTAATCAAATTGATTGCACACATCGACAGGTTCTGCATTTCAGCAAATTACTAATGTTACGTCCCAGCTCACTAGGGGAAAAGGGACGTATGCATAAACCAGATGTACTTGGTATGGTGAAAAAATTATTTATTTACACAAGAGAGTTTACAAGGTTTAAAACAACTAAAGTTTGGCAAGTGGGTGCTGCGAAAACAAACACAAGATAACGAAATAGCCCTCCAAAACAGGGATTACTAGCCAACTCAGAAACCCAAAATGAAAACAAAACCTCTCTATTTAGGGTGTCTCAAAAACAAAACACACTGTAAAGATCAATACTACAGACACACTGTTAAACACAACTGACTCAAGTGTGTCTCTTAGCTCAAATGAGACCTTACTGACTCTCAGTAATGAAAACAAACTTCTGCAAAAGGGTTACAAAGTCTTTAGCAAAATATCTAACACAAAGACTACTCTTAACAAACAAATTACTGACTCAGTAATAGCAGCAGATCACAAACACAAGCAGGCCACAGAAGTGAGCTGCTGGAAGGAGCACACAATAAACATACTCAGTACACACTGTGGTCGGCACAGACGCAAAATATTAAATGACACACAGCTCCCTTTGAACGACAGTATGACGGCTTTTTAAAGCAGCAGGCCCCAACCACAGCTCGCAGAGTGGTGGACGGTCTTAGAGCTGCTCCAATCAGCATGGATGTAGGCGGGAGCAGACAGGTCCTCACCAACACCAACCAATCCTCAGCCGGGGATTGCACAGCCTGCTTAGCATACTGGAAACACACACGATCAGTAACGAAATCCAACGGCTGCGAACAGCGGCCATAACACCAGTGACATTATTTGGTTTCTGATCATCAGGTGAACGTGAACGACATAATCAGGCATGCAAACTGGTCAGAGGTAAAACATTTTGAGCATTCCATCAAACAACTCGGGGAAGTCGTTGTACTTCAACACTACCAATAAAAGTGAACATATAAACAGTAAATATGGCCAAAACATGGACATGTGCCTGGTATATTTTTGAAAGATTGTGTAATAACTGTTGTATATCAGTTTTTTTCATCAAATTTACACTTACAGTTGTATTCTAGGTGTATTAGAAGATATTCAGGTGCATTATAATCTACCTTAGGATGGTTTTGATGGTTATTGCATCAAAATAAAGCTTTTTTTACCAGGCGGGGATGAAAATATTATATTTTTTCTGTATTTCATGTAGTCTGTAATGGTAAAATAAATATGTTAATCTACAATGGGTTTATATTTCTTAGCTTCTGACCTTTCAAAGGAGAATTATGCATCTAGGCGTAATGGCCGTAACAAAGTTAAAAAGGTAATAATTACTTTTGGTTTTGGTTAGCCTACACTATGAGAATAAAGAAATGGAGCGCTCTCTCTCTTTTTTCTCTCTCTCTCTCTCACACATACGCAGACACAGACTTACACACTCTTGCCCACTGTTATCTCTCCCTCATCGGTGAAATGACAGCCTGCTTATCAACAGACAGGGACAATCGCATGCGCAACTGTTGAGTAGAGCGAGCATCATCTATGTAAAACACAGAGTCGACCTACTCTCATCTTGCCAGAGTCTTGCACTGACAGCTCGGAACATGGACCACCTGCCAAATGCTTGATCCGGGATGCTGATGGGGCAGGTCTCTGTAATAACAGTCTCTGAATTCCATTGTCTGGTGGTATGAGTCCCATTTTTCCAGACTGCCTCTTAAGGAGTAGAATTAAGTCCAAGCAGGGCCAGCATGGCTCCTCTCCTGGCTCTCTTTCCTCTACTCTGAGTGATCACTGCACCCGCTGTGGCGCGTTGTCCGGTTGTTTGGGCTGGGTGGATAGTGGTCTGCGGCTCTTCAATCCAAATCTACATGTAACCCACCTGGAGTTCACAAAATACTGAAATACATTTAAAACCAGTAGATTCGTGGCGGGGTTGGAGGAGACAGACACAATAAGCAATGTATTTAAATAAAAAAGTAAAAAGAAATTTCCTTATAAACCAGCACTCTGGTGCTGAAATTTATTTTTCTTATTACTCGGTGATAAAAGTAACGTTACTCATTCCATTACTATAAAATTTTCACAACAACGCCCCCTACCCTCCCCCCAAACAAAGCAGTCTCTCCCGACTCCCGACTTAAATAATATCATATTCATAATAGCAGCAAGGAGTATGGTTTTTACAAAACATAACATTTCTTAACACCGTACATGCTGCACACAACACTGAAATAAAAAATGAAGCAAGTAAATTCCTACTTTTGAACTAGTGTTTTTCTGCACATGAACTTATAAGAGCAGTATTGAGGGTTTTTTTTTTTTTTTGGATGATGCAACGTTACTTGGATTAGTAACTGTAATATTATTACTGTTTTGGTAAAAGTAATCCCTTACACTACTAGTTACTAGGAAAAATAACATTATTACAGTTATTACTGTTGACCAATCACCCCAGCCTTTTGCAAATTTGACCAATAGTTGCCGTTTTCCGCAAAACGTTGTAAAAACGTCAGCTTGTCACTTTCTTGTTTACAAGGCGCAGCACTGTGCGATACCAATGTCTCACATTTGTCGACAAAAAAAAAAGGACTTTTTTTGTTTACGTTTTGTAAACAGTATTGTGGTTGAACATAAAGGAAATGGTGATCGACACACAAAGTGGCAGAAATGCATGAAGCAAGTCAGACAAGACAAATCACTGTGAAACAGTGTTACCCCCTGGCTCAAGGCTGGCAACAAAAAGGGAGGCCTCACAAAGATAATAGAAACAAAAATGTTTTATTTAACTCAAAATAAAAAACAACTTAACTAACTTGACGGCACGGGTAGATATGAGGAACATTAGTCATGTCAGAAGTGTGTCGATGAGTGAGAATGTAGTTTAATTCATGCTGGTTGGTGCAGCAAATTAAACAAACGAACAAAGGCAGCACACCATCTTGCGTGATAAAGTTTTTTTGTCGCTTCATGTTGACTTTACTGAGTCAACTGACTTTCTGATTTTGAAAAGTTCTGAAGGTCATTCAGAAGACTCTCTGGCTTGCTTGATACACCTCTGAAAAAGCCGTCAGTAAATGTGTGATTGGAAATAAGCGTCCGACGTGCACATACACTGCAGAACATGCTTTATTGTGAGCATGTGCAAAAGTGTCCTTACAATAAATTTATTTAACAAGGGAGAAAAAAATTTGACCCGATGCCACATTTATTTGACAATCCCTGGTCTAGATGCTCACGCTTGTCGGAAAACATACGATAAAAGCATTGCTTGACTGGTTGTGTATGCCCCACATCAATATAGTGCTTAATAAGGTAAGTGCGAGATGGAATATTTGCAAACAGGCAGGGATAACCTTTGATTGGGTTCACCAGCTCTGTACGCTGTGGCTCATGTAAGTGTTTCAACATTGCATCCAGATTTGCAAGTGACATGGAGTTTCTAAGATGTGCTCTCAAATCTCCATCAACTGGTGAACACAACTATTCCCCAACAAAGTGGGGTTGACTGACCGACTGAAACCGCTGCAGCAACAGAGGAAGGCAACGACCCAAGACCTGGCACAGCAAAGCGCACAAAAAGGGTTTCAACAAGTTAATGAGACAGTGGTCGAGATTAAACAGTTCAGGTCTGAAACTTTTCGGGCCACTGTATAAGGACCAGAGAACTTTTGCCTGAAAAGTAGAGACAACTAAAGGCAAAAGCACCAGAACTTGATCACCAGGACAAAAT